TCACTCGCTTTCACTCACTCAGTCACTCACTCATTCATTCAGTCACTCACTCATTCATTCACTCATTCACTCACTTTCAATCATTCATTCACTCACTCAGTCACTCACTTTCACTCATTCAATCACTCACTCACTTTCACTCACTGTCATTCACTCATTCATTCACTCACTCATTCACTCAGTCACTCACTCATTCAGTCATTCATTCATTCACTCACTCAGTCACTCACTCATTTAATCACTCATTAACTCAGTCACTCATTCATTCATTCATGCACTCATTCATTCACTCACTCAGTCACTCACTCATTCACTTACTGTCATTCATTCACTCATTCACTCAGTCACTCACTCATTCATTCATTCATTCATTCGATCACTCAGTCACTCATTGATTCACTCACTCACTCCTTCACCCCCAGGCCCCCGGCCAGCACCTTCTTTGTGGGGCGCTCCCAGCGTGAAGAGGCCGTTGTCCAGGGCGTGGACGTAGGTCCCTCTGTCCATCTCGATCGCGATGGTTCCAGAGATCTCCCCAAAGTTCCTCACCGCCCACCAGTTTCCTAAAAAGCAGAAGAAACCAATTTCCTCGTTTCCTGGGGCCACACCCCTCCTCCCCCTGCCCCCCCAGGCCCCACGGACCCCCCGACCCCCGGACTCACCCACGCAGTCCAGCTGCGCCTCCTCCTCCTCGCCCCCCCGCCGCCTCTTCTCTGCGCTCTTCTTCTTCCTGTAAGACACAAGGCCCGTGACGTCAGAGGGGGTGACGCGGGGGGAGGGGCCGGGTGCACCCCAAGAGTGGCTGACACCCCCGAAATAATCCACGATCCTCAGACCAGCGGCTAACGTCCAGTCTGAGGGGGCCGGGGGCAGGCAGCCCCCGCCTGCCTCAGTTTCCCGGCCTGTAGAAGGGGGGTCATGACGGCGCCGCCCTTCCCCGAGGCTGCTGCGGAGACAGGCAGGAGCAGCGAGGGCGGGCGCGCGGCGCATGCGCACAGGCCCGCTGCCGCCGCCCTCGGTCCAGCGTCTGTCTCTGCGGGAGCAGCGGGGGGGGGGCTCCTCAGAGCCCGGAGGGGCGGGGCCGGCGGGGTGACGTCACGGCCCCGCCTCCAGCCGGGCCCCTCTGCCTTCCGGGCCGCCGTAGCGCCGCTCAGCCGCTCGCTCAGTCACTCACTCCCCCTCCCCCGCCAGCCGCGCTCACCCCGGCCTCGGGGGCTGGTGGGCCCCGCCCGGCCTCACCTCTTGGCCTTCGTGCCCTTCAGCACCAGCTTGGTGGACTTGACCGAAGCGTACTCAGCCATGGCGGCGGACTCCGAGGGCCGCGCCGACTCCGCTCCGGCGGGCCCCGCCTCCCTTTCGTTGCGCAGGCGCAGGAAACCCTTCCGCTGTGTCTCGCGCTTCCGGCCCGGCCTCAGCTACGGCGGCCGCGGAGGCCTGGAACGCTTCGCGAGGCGGTTTTCCGACCGGGCCCTGCCCAGGGCGCGTCGGCGCCACCGTCTGGGGAGGAGGAGCTGTGGCAGGCGCTACCGGCTTTACAGCAGCCCCCTCTACAGGAGTAGGCTGGTACCACCTCCATTTTACTGGGGAGGAAACTGAGGCAACCTCAGAGAAGCCACTCTCCAAGACCACGGGATGCCAAGAAGAGGCCGATCTGCGTTGGTGGAGGGAGCTTCCGCACTGGGAGGTCCCAGGTCCGGTCCTCATTCTGAGATCCAGCACAGGCTTGCTTAAAGAATGTAAGCCCCTTGAGGGCAGGACTGCCCCCTCCCCATGGTGTACAACAGATGCTTAATAAATGCTTGTGGATGGCTTGGGGGGTGCTTTCTGGCTTGTGCCCCTGGAGTGGGAAGAGCCCCTCTCCTTCTGATGCCCCCAGGACCGCGAAGAGGCAGAAGATGCGCCTGCCCTCAGGGACCTTCCAGTCTCCTGGGTACCAGAAGGAAGCTGAAAAGCTGGGGGGTGGGGGCGAGGCATGGGAAGAGCCCCGAGGAGTCCGACCCAAGGGCAGCTGGCAGGGAAAGTGCGTGAGACGCACGTGCTCGTGTGTGCATGCGTGCACTCGTGTACCTGTACACATTCATACTTATGTATATGTGCCCATGTTACACACGTGCCAGCGTCATCAGGAACACGAGGAAAAGGCTCAGGAATCCCAGACACAGCCGGTCAGGCCTGGGAGGGGCCTCAACTCCCTCTTGCAGACAGCTCGGGCCAAGAGAAGGGAAGTCTCCTCCTTTACGGCTACATCATTTTTTAGTTCTTTTTATAGCTTCTGCCTCCAGAAATGCCGGACTCTCTCTTCTCTTGCTCCAAGCTCAGCCTGACTATCCCTTTGCACTCCGTGCACTGGCTGCCACCATGTGCTTCTGCTGCAAGAAAATGATGGCGGATGGGGAAAGGCTCAGCACCCGCCAGCAACAAGAAGTGAAGATCTTTTCTGCGCCTTGCTCGTGCAAGAAAACCTTCTCATCTCTCCTTGCGGTTCTCTGGAGTTCTGCCTTCACTCGGGCAGATCTTTCCCTTTCTCCCTTCCCTTTCCCTTTCCTTCTTTCCTCAGCTATTTGTAAAGCCTGGTCAGACCGCCATTTTGCTCTCTTGCCCTTCTATCTCTTTGGGACGTTCTTTGTTGCTGCCCCCTGTACAATACTGCCAACCTCTGTCCATGGTTCTTCAGGCACTCTATCTACCAGATCCGGTCCTTTAAATCTATTCATCGCCTCCACTTGTTATTCATAAGGGATGTTGTTTAGGTCATACCTATACGGTCTGATGGTTTTCCCTACTTTCTACAATTTTAGTCTGAGTTTCTCAACAAGAAGCTCACGATCTGAGCCACGGTCAGCCCCAGGTCTTGTCTTAACTGACTGTATAGAGCGTCTCCCCCTTTGCTGCAAAGCACATAATCAGTCTGATTTCAGTACTGGCCATTTGGCACTGCCTGTGTGTAGAGCCGCCTTTTGGGTTGTTGTGTGAGAAAGTGTTTGCCACGACCAGCGAGTTATCTTGGCCGAACTCTGTTAGTCTCTGCCCTGCCTCATTGTGCATCCAAGGCCAAACCTGCCTGTTATTCCAGTTGTCTTTTGATTTCCTACTTTAGCATTCAGTCTGGGTGTTATTTCTAGAAGATGTTGTAGGTCTTCGTAGAACTGATCGACTTTGGCCTCTTCGGCATCAGACTAGTATCACCGTGGTGTTGCACGGTCTGCCTTGGGTCCGAACAGATAACTCTCTGTCGTTTTTGAGAGTACGCCCAATGCTGCTTTTCTCGTCCTTTTATGGGCTATGAGGGCTACTCCCTTTCTTCTAAGGGACTCTTGCCCACAGTAGTGTATGTGATGGCCTCCTGAATTAAATCCGCCCCTTCCTGTCCACTCCAGTTCCCTGACACCTGACACCCACGATGTCGACGTGTGATCTTCCCGCCTCGTCCGGCTTGCCTTGGTTCAGAGATCTCACGTTCCCGGTCACTATGCAGCCTCAGACTCGCCTCTCACCCTGGGACGCACCTGCGGCTGAGCTTTCCTCGGGCGTTGGCCCAGCTGCGTCATCAGTGCTGTAGCTTCTTGAGGCTGTCCTCTGCTCACCTCTGGAGCGCATGGGTCGCCTTCCGAACAGGTGCCATCGTGGCGTCATTGAACAACACAATGGGACAAGGCCTCCGAGAGAAGGGAGGACCGGGTCGTCTGGCCTCCTCAGGAGGCGACCGTCAGAACTGAACACGGAATGACCGATGGGTTTGAGATTGGGAAAAGAGTGAGACGAGGCTGCGTAGCGGCGCCTTATTTATTTAACTTATATGCAGAGTACATCGTGTGAAATGCCAGAACTAAGGTTGCCAGGAGAAATATCCATCGTCTCAGCTGTGCATCGTAGAAAGTGAGGAGGAAGTTAGAAGCCTCGATGAGGGCAAAAGAGGAGAGAGGAAAGGCCGGTGTGAAGCTTAGCGTAGAAAAACAAAGCTAAGATCTCGGCCCCTGGTCCCATGGCTTCCTGGCCAGCGGAGGGAGAAAGGGGTAAGCTGATCACTCCTGATCTCATCCCCAGGAGGCTGGCAGCCTGGGATGCCCAGCGCTTTCCCAGCCCCCTCAGGCTCCTCTCCCCTCTGATTGGAGGGCTTTCCTTCGTAGAAGGCAGCACGTGGACTTTGCAGCTCACTCCGCTCTCATCTGCAGCTCCGCTGAAGTCTCCTCCACACAAGACACCCTCCAGTGCCCACCTCCCTTGCCCCCACTTCCAGTTTCTTGTTGTACGCTGTCCTCCTCCATCAGATTGTAAGCTCTTTGAGGGCAGGGACTCTCTTTCTTTCTCTTATTTGTATCCCTAGTGCCTAGCACAGGGCCTGAATACGGTCATAGTGAATTACTGGCCGGTCCCTGTATTGCACCGGTAAACACTGATGGAATGCCTACTATGTGCCGGGCCTCATGCTGTGCAGTTCCACACCAGATTACCCATTCCATTAATATTGCAGCGGTCAGTCACGGTGGCCGCTCTAACAAAAGTGGTAGAAAAATGTTTGCCTGAGGGGCAGCATCCTCCAGGAGCGGGACCCTCGTGGCAGAGAGAGAGGCTCCAAGCGGGCTTCCATAAGTCACAGATCCTAGAAATCCAGCTAGCCGCGAAGGCAGAAGAGGGCTGCACCTCAAGGGAACTTCGGGGGATTTCCGTGAAGGAAGGCAAGAACTTTCAGAAAAGGAGGCGGCATGTGCATTCTCTACACAGACATCTCACCAACCCTTCAACCAACAACTTCAGTCTGAGCCGCACTAGTGGCACAGTGGATAGAGTGCCGGGCCTGGAGTCAGGAAGACTCATCTTCCTGAGTTCAAACTAGCTGTGTGACCCTGGGCAAGTCACTTAACGCTGTTTGCCTCAGTTTCCTCATCTGTAAAATGAGCTGGAGAAGGAAATAGCAGACATCTCCACTCCAGTATCTTTGCCAAAAAAACCCCAAATGGGGTCACAGAGTCAGATGTGACTGAAATGACTGAACGGCAAATCTCCATGGATGTTGTGTATGTTTCTGAGAGAGTATACTCGGTATTTTGGGGGAAATATTTGGTACCAACTGTTCTAGCTCTGAATCTAGGAGCCTGATTCTTGCCATACCTTTTTTAGTAAACACCTTTTATAAGACGCTCATTAAATCTGGCTGGCTGATCATTAATGGGAAGCGCACTGGTGGGGGCCCATGAGGGACACCAAGTCAGGTCCTCAGGATGAGCTCAGAGCCCAGAGAGGAGGAGGAGTCGCTTCTCTGGGAAACCTGACCTGCCAGTACAAGTGTGAGTAGCCCAGAAGGGGCGTTATATTGGGCTGAACTGAAAAGGGCAGCCCACGGGCCTGGGCCCCTTCCATCTGCATAAGAATAGGAGGTCTGTGGGAGCAGTTTGTGGTACAGACCCCCTGCTAAGAAGGCCGGGGATCCGAGAGGCCCATGTGCAGGGCACCAGATCAGGGGTCGTGACGAACCTTTACCCCAGAGCTAAAGAGGTGCCTTTACAGGGGCACCCTGGCACTGGAATCCAATGCCCTGGGTTCAAATCCTGCCTCTGCTGCTTATTTTCTGTGTGCCATTGGGCAAGTCACTTCCCCTCCCTGGGCCTCAGTTTCCTGCTTTGTGAAATAAGAAGACTGGACCAGAGGGGGGCTCCCCCCCGGGGCCCTTCCCACTCTGGAGCCTGTTCCACGTTAATCGCAATACCCCCAAAGGCCACACGGTGGCGGTGTTTCACCAGGACTAGAGGAGGGCCATTTTGGCAGAGGTTTGTAGGATGGGTGGAGAGGAGGGACAAGTTAGGAGGCTATCGTAAGAGCGTAGTCCTGGGAGAGCGGCGATGAAGGCCTGAAGAAGGAGGTGGGCACGTGAGTGGAGAGGAGGGGGGAATCCTTTCCATCCAACACGCATTTATCAGGTCCCCACTGTTCCAGGCACTAGCGATGCAAAAACAGACAAGGAAAAACCAGTCTCCACCCTCAGGGAGGCAGCTGGGCAGCGAGGACGTCACGGTGCAGAGCTCTGGAGTCAGTCCTGTCCAGGAAACTTCTTAGCTGTTTGACCCCGGGCAAGTCACCTCACTCCTAGTTTCCCCATCTGTAAAACAGGGATAAAAGCACCTACTCCTTGCTAATGGTGGTGTTGTGAGGATGAAACGAAATGAGATGACGTGTGAACGGTGCTTTGCAAACCTTGAGCTCTAGGTAACGGTCAGCTGCTTCAGAAGTATGCTGGATACAGCTTGAACAGACTGTTGAAATTCAGTGTAAGCATATTGAGATAGGTAACCCTGCAAATCAGGGCTTGGTTTCTTGTTTTGTTGAGTGTTGAGTCTTAAGAGAGTGACTCCCA